AATGTTCAATAATATTATTTTGACAGATATTTTTTTCTTCAGTCTTAAAACTTAGGGTTAGGGTTAGGCTAAACCCCAGACTGTTTTGGCGGCCAAGCTATTTTGGGCCGTCGAGAAAACAGGAACATGCAACATGGAACATTCCGGAACATTCCGGAACATCGAATAATTATGAGGAAAATATGTAAAATTAAATTTTCAAAACTAAAGTAAACAAAAATAAACTGGTATCAGCTCGAAATATGAAAATTATTGGGGATAGGGGAGTCGGTAGGGGAGGGGTAAGGAGGGTTGGGTATTCATTTGACCGACTACAATGAGTGCAGGCTTCTCTTCTTTCCCGCCAATTGCGTCACGTCGCTTTACAGCACTCTGTTTTCTAACAAAAACATGGATGATTCGGACGATGAATGCCAGGTAACTCATTGCGTCTCCTTTTTTGAGGTGTTCGTTTGAGCATCATACAGTTGCTTGTTATAAGTCAAAAGCCATAGTCTTGTCACTATTCCGTCTTCATGTTGCTATTTATCATCCCCAGTTTTCGCGCCGCTCCGCTGGGAACGCCTGACGCTATGACCCACCAAGCCTTCCAGGAAGCCCAAGTAACAAGCAAGTTATCATTCTAGAAGTAATCAAAGATTAGAGCAGCGCGTTCACGCGCGTACTTCGCATGTCTGGTCTACTTTGGTGTTGTACGAATGGCTCGATAGAAGTTTGATCGAATGTCAGATAACGATCTGCACGATCTGCACGATCTGCACGTGAAGTTGCACTAGCGATGAATGGATTATAGCCTGCGTTAAAACTATTTTTAATTAATTAAGTATTAACTTGCACTGGACAAAAAAATTTCCAGGAAATGCATTTGAACACTTGTAACAAATATTTCTTGAGTCAATAAAGTTTTGACCAGCGACCCTGCAAGACAGCGCCCGCGTCGTCAAATGCTTTTAAATTTTGTGTTTGTATTTGTTTACACTGTCGTCAGAGCTCGAGAAATCCGAACTAGTTTAGACAAGAAACTCAATGCTGAAGAGTTCTATTTCTATCTCATGAAGAAACTATTTCTTCATGAGAAATCGTGTATACGCATTTCTTTGTATTGACGTAATGAATTGAATAAAGAAATCGCACTCGTGTATTCTTATTTTTAGGTCTGATTTAGGAGTTCGAACGCCACCACCTTGGTTTTCTGTGAAGAACGAAATCTGGGAATAAGAGACAGTCACGTGATTAAACTGACGGCGAACGACTGGAAGGAATAGATTACTCTTCTTAGTTGCTAGCCTTCACTCATTGCATTTACTTTCATTTTAATTTTCTTTCTTTTTTTCTTCTTTTTTTTCATGTTTTTGATTTGTTTTTATTCTCGGAGCTGATACCAGTTTATTTTTGTTTGATTTAATCTTTAAAAATTTAATTTTACATATTTTCGACACAATTATTATAATTATTCGATGTTCCGGAATGTTCGGGAATGTTCCATGTCCCTGGTTTCATCGACGCCCCCTATTTTGGCTAATTCCTTAATCATATTATCATACATTTCATTGAAATTCGCATTTCCGTGACCGACTTCCGCGAGCAAAACAAGATGGACGTTTGTTGTTCATAGATCGATCACCGTAATGTTTATTTGTCTACCAGTGTTATGATTTGCAAATTTCAGACAGGTAGCGAATAGCGTTAAAAGTGTCACTTAATTGATCAAACAACCAAAAGTAGAAAAGATGGATTTTTTTTCCCACTATGATTGAAACGCAAACGCAATTTCTTCCTCGGCTAGTTCAATTCAAGAAATTTGAGGTTTTCTAGCTGAGTTTGAGCATATTGTGTTAAAAGTACAAATTTTGTACACAGCTAGAAGAGCTGAGAGCCGTCACGCAGTTAGTAGTTTATAGAATTTATGGTATTTCCACTTGACTTTATTTGTCAGTCAATGATTCGATTGCCATAAACCATAGAGGATTGGTTAAGAGTATCTCTAAAACTGCCACTGCATTCTAACTTATCAGTGAAATTAATAACTGAGCCATCTTGTGGAAATAAACAAGTGTTAAAAATCATTTACCTGACTCATTTCCCGGAGCACCGTAGTCACGTTCTTTATCAGGGATGTCGTGGATGTTGCAATGCAAATGAAAAATATATAAATATATATACTAACTTAAAAAGAAAAAAAAGCATTTTCCATTATTTTATCCACATAACGTTTCAAAAATTGCTTTCATCGGATTGTTGGAAACGAATATTTACTCGAGAGTGACTATCCGCGTCACGCAATTGTTTACTTTCAACGGCGGATTTTAAAATCTATGAGAAACACAGGCCAAGGAGGGCGACTTAAAACCATTTACCCAGAGATATTTTTTGATGTCCTAACAGGTGGGTGTATATTTAACCCGTTGAAAGTGTTTTTCTAGTTATAGCCCCTAGAAAAATATGGCGATGTTTCAATGCAATAATTCGCTTGCAACACATTGTGAAATTTCGCGTGTCTGTTTGATCTAGTGTTCGGGCTCAAAACTAACTTTGATTTATTTTATTTTTCACTCAGTCATACCACAAAGACCTGAGCTAATTATAAAATCCATTAAAGATTCTCAAGTAGCTGTTCTGCGGAGCGCGAAGCAATCAAATATTCAGAAAATTCAGCAAAACCGGAAGTAGATTTTAAGCCCAATCGGGACGAAATCGTTTTTGGCATATTTCTACCAAAGAAAGTTGTATTCTTACTAGGACCTATCTATGGGCAAAATACAAGCGAAATCAATTTTTCGACTTGTACCATTGATAGGCGATTTAGGTCGATTTTTACAGGCATTCACTCTTAAAACGAAGGTACGTAGTCTTCATTGTGCTCATTGAGTCTTTCGTTTGGCGGCGTTTTGGTTGCCGTTACATTTCGAGTTAAACAACATGTTTATATTCAGTTTGATCAGTGCGACTATTTAAAAAGGCTTGTTAGAACAAAGTTAACCAATCACAACGTTAATTGAGAACAAAGGAAGGCCACCTTTTTCTTAAATGGACCAATGACGTGGAAGAATACACACTATAGTTAAAAAACAAAATTTGAAACCCAACAAAATTGCGAAGGGTTACGGACCTCAGGAAACGTGATCCCTTTGGCCCTAACATGATGGGCGTAACATTGCTCTCAACAAAACTAATTAAATGTACGATCAGTGCTCTTGCCAGTGTGACACCTTACCTGTCGTTACAATGTCTTGGATGCATAAACAAAAGGAATCGAAATTAGTAATAATGATTTCTTGCTAATTTAAGCTGTAATTTCCAGCTCTTTGAGGGTTTTTTTTTAACCAACGACAGTGCATGTATGTGAGCTCAAAACGTAAATTGACGTAAAGATTGTATGCATCTGGCTTGCTATTCAACAATTATGATAGTCCTGGAAAAAAAAAGTCTGGTATAAAACTCCCTGAGGATACATTTCGTTTTACCATGTAGCGTAATGCTTAAGATATAACGTTCGCGGGAAAATTCTGCCAACTTACTAGGTGAGGATAGGGCGGGTTTGAAGAGTTTACACACCTAATTAACAATATCACATTTTGAATTTCAAGCAGACATTTTAGTGTATTTTGGCAAAAAGTCCAAAGAGAGTGATGTTTTCACCATAAAATTTCGCGGGAAACAATTTAACATACTCTCCGAAACCATTTACACCGATATATTTCTAACTAAACTGGTTATTGATGAAATAATTGCATTCTTTGATGAATAATATGTTGTCATCCCAGAACTGGCTATTTCAAAAGAAGCGCTTGTCACCATTGCGACGGCAAGGAGGTCAATTCCATGCTAGTGAAAACTAAGAGCCAAAAAATCTTGATCTAATGTGGAAAATGGTTATTTTATATCATAACCAATTAGTAATACCTTGTTGTTTTATGAGGCAAACATTTCGTCATTAAGTATTGTAGTAGAACACACAAGCGTATACGTCAATTTGGTGTCTTTCTAACGTCAGAATCTGTAAATAAACATAAATGGAAGATGGGTTGGTATTTTTCAATTTATTTCAATCAATCAATCTATTGTTACTTTGAAACTGGGTATTACCACTAAACAATGGACGACAATTGAGCGCAATTTCGAAAACATTTTACGTCTCAAGTCTAATCAAGAGAATTTCTGAACAGAAAAAATAATTCCCTTGGTAACACATTACAAACTTGCCTAGTCGACCCCACTGGGTAGCCGTTTGTTCTCTTTTGTTTAAATCGAGGTGTTTGATCATAATTTTTTTGTTCAACCTGATTAACCTTAAACGCGAGTTTTGAAATAAAAAACGTTTGTTAGTCGGGAAACTATTTCTGGTTGGTCTTACGCTTGTTAAAATGTTTCTTATTATGACGAATTTCAAGTTTTTCTCGCGAAGTAAATATTATAAGGCCCACCCTAGACAAATGTAGTTGGCCATGCGCTGTTTCCAAGCTTTACAGATGCAGGCAGGTTAATACTTTTTTAATTAACAGCTCTGAGTTTCAAACTTATCTGTGTCATGTTTAGGACTTCTTGAAAAAAGACAAAGTCACAGATAACATTCAGTTTTCCACAGACAGCTAGCCTGTTCGGAAGATTTCGTTTATCGCGGAAGACTGACTTCAAAGGACGACATCTAAAGAGAAGACCTCACCTTGTTAGCAGCTGAGTTTTACAATGATATTTGCCTGTGATTCCATGCACCCACCCCAGACACTGGAAGAAACAGTTTGTTTTTGAATTCTTTACACCACGAAATTTCT